CTCTCTCTCTCTCTCTCTCTCTCTCTCTCTCTCTCTCTCTCTCTCTCTCTCTCTCTCTCTCTCTCTCTCTCTCTCTCTCTCTCTCTCTCTCTCTCTCTCTCTCTCTCTCTCTCTCTCTCTCTCTCTCTGTGTGTGTGTGTGTGTGTGTGTGTGTGTGTGTGTGTGCTCGCCGCCTTCGCTGGGTGACGGTGACAGCAAGATGCTTCCTGCGCTTCTCTTACTTCTCTAAGACTCCGCACCAACGCAATCGAAGAACAAAGACGTAGAAGGGGGAGAGAGCAAAGGCTTGCGGTTTGGAGGCAGGGAGGGCGGAGGACGTTGCGGGGGACCACAGGGGAACCATGCCCGACTCCCGTGCCAAGAGTGCGCATCGGGCGAGAAATCAGGCGGACACACACGTGGGCACGGGCAAGGATCCTCCCAATGCTGGCTGGCATCGATGTCGCAGCTGCGATGGGCCAATACTCCCCACCGCCCAGAGCTTAGGGAGCTTTAGGTACGGGGCAGGAGACTCTGCGTCCTCGAGCAGCTCCACAAGTTTCACATGCCCTGTGAGCCTCCATAGGATGTCTCAGCAGTCTACACAAGTGCCTTGCAGGGCCTTCACCCCCGACATGCCTGGTCCTAACAGCAATAGTTTTAGCAGTTGCACTAGTAGTAGCAGCAGTTATTTTCGCAATAAACTTGGTCGTGTCAGCAGACATTACTCCACAAAGTCTCAGCGTAAGGAGGGACCGCAACCGCCGGAGGAAAGGCAGCAGCAAAAAGTAATACACGGTGAGGGGGAGGAGCCAGACAAAAACGAAGAGAAAGTGCTATCCTTGTCGATGCCCCAAATTTTTTTGTTTGGTGATTCGATCTCGCTGGACACTGAGGGGTTAGCCCCGCGTGTGGACGTGGCGATGAATAAGGACGCACCACTCAACGACAACAACACCGTCTGCACGGAACAGTCCTCCTCGCCCATGTGGGCAACAGTACGCAACAAGCGCAGTCCCGAGAGCGCAAGTTGGTTTTCTGGACGCCCGATTATTGGCTTCTCGCCTTCAACACGGTCTGAATTGACTTGTGTAGAGATCAGCCCCTTTGAGATGCCCGCCTTTCCCTCATTGGACGTCTCAGGCGGGCGAAGCAACAATGACGAGGTCGCCGTGCAAGACGAGGAAGACGGGGAGGGGGAAAAGGACCACAAGGGGCGGATCCAGCTCCTGCCGAAGAAGGAATTTAAGCCCAAGTGCAGCCTCGGCGCCGTGGGTGGAGACGCGCCTATGCAGTTTCGATTTTCCACCTCCCGTGACGACGCTGAAGCAGAGCGAGGGTGTATGAAACGCGCTTGTTGCCCCCCGATGCTCTTTCTCATTCTTGGCTTCCTGGTGCCATTCGTGATTCAGGAGGTGTTTGTGGTGGCAAACCACCTTGCGACGGCTGGGCCGATTTTGTGCGGGGGAGCTACCTCTAACTGCAATTTAAAAAGTATTCTTTTGTTTGTTTTCGCGTATGGAATAGATCTCTATATTCCATTCGCCTTTTTTACACCGGCACTGTTCTTTCTCTCCTACGACGCGGTTGTGAGGAAGGAGCAGGAACGAGAGTTGCATGCCCACTTGTCGCGCTATGCTGTGCCAGTCGACACCCCCTCTTCTGCCTGCGTCCGGGCACCCAACGGCGGGATGGACGACTGCCCCCGATCCGGCGGCGCAGAGACGCGAGATCACTGCGAGCAAAGCGAAAGATCCAAGCTTCGCTGGGACTTGCCTCCATGCGTCAGTGTGTTGCGTCGCGGTTTCGTGTTTTGGGTGATTGTTCTGACACGCTTTGTTTTCTTAGCCGCGATGGACACCTATTTGCCGTTTATGACAAAAATACCAGCAACTCTTTGGGGGCCCATGCGTTTAGTAGCCTTGTCGTTACCGCTCATGATCTATTCACTGTACGAGACTCGTCCCTTTCTTGCAGTGCCGTACGTCTTACTAGATGCCTTTCCCCTGCTTTTTCAGCTTGTTCTGGGAAACAACACCATTCCGACACGTATTCGCTGCATGACAGGCCCAATGATGCTGGTTATCTTTGAAAGAATTTGCTGGTACGTGTCTGTGGCAGCCATGCCGAAGGACGTGCCTGTGGGAATCAAGATAGTCGTGAGCTCCACCTTTACCGCTATTTATTTTCTTCTGCTACTAGCGCTATCACTTACTGTGGATACCAGGCAAAATTTTTATGTGACGATTGTTGTGGCCGTTCAGGTCCTATTTTGGGAGCTTCTGTTTAATATTCTACTGTTGGAACTTCTTGCCCGTCGATTATACGTCCTTCTCATGAGTTGCTTGTTTCAGCGAGAGGTGCGGACCCCCCGCGTGCAGGCAGCAGATCCGACGAACATATCCACCCAGGTGCGTTGGCCCACGTTGCTGGTTGCGGTTGGTGCCATTGTTCCATTTTTTCAATTTCATCAATGGCATCGCCTCATACCGTATAGTGACAAGCATGGCAATGTGACGGAGGCGTTCCAGGTATACGTTGCCACGTTCTTTGCCGTCATAGGCGCCATCATCGTGGCCACCATTATATCACTTCTCATCCGCTGGAAGCACCAACTGCTCCGCATGCCGTTACTCATGGAGGATTGGTTTCTGCTGCTCGTGTGGGGGTGTTACGTTTTCTCCTCGGTACCGTTGGTGTTGGCAGCAGTCGTCTAATGGGGTGTCGCGGCCCTTTTTTTTTGTGAGTGTTTGTGTGTGAGTGTGAGTGTTTTTAATTTGGATGCATCTCCCCCGAATTGGGGGGACGATGGGCGTGCGCGGGAGCAGCCCGCCATTTCCCTGTTTTAGCCCCGACCCCTCCTCTCTTTCCCCCCTCCTGCCGGGAAGAATAAAGGGAAGGGCCTCATCCAGGCGCAGCACTCCAGCCGTGCTGCATCGCGTGTGAAATAATTTCACTCGGCAAACATTCCATGAGGCGCGTTATTTCGCTTCTGCTTCTGCTTTCTATTCTCTCGTTCCTGGCCGCTGCGTCCGCCGCACCCCGCGACAGCAACCCCAACGAGGATCGCCATGTCGTCTCTGGCGCAATTCCCGCAGCGCAAGCTGCTTTTGCCTCCGTGAGCCGCACGGGTACCACCCGTCGCGGCGAAACCGGCTCCACGGGCACGGAGCACAACTCGTCG